GCTGCCTGCCGGGGCCCGAGGGGGGGGCCACCCTGTGGACATCGGTTTTGCGGTGACTTCGGTTTTTCTGGTGACGGATCAACGCCAGACCGGAGCTGTACTTCGCGGATGCTGCTGACTGAGGTTTTCCTTTGAGAAAAAGGAGGGAGCAGGGGATGCATAAGTAGAAGGTAACGGTAGCGGGTTCTGCGCGGGTTTAAACCATCGCTCAGAGGATTCGCACGCAGGTTGAAGTGGGCCGTGGCCTTGCTTGAGCTGAGTGCTGCTGGGAGCACATTACCCTTGTCCATCGGTTTTATCTTTGGCTGAGGAAGACCACTAAAGCTTGATGCAGCAATAAAAAAATTCCATTTGTTTAGACAGCGTGAGAGTTTTGTGGCTTTGTGTTCATCAGCCAGCGCCTGGTTGCCGGCGGGGTCTGCCACGGGCAAGCTGCTCGCTGCTGGCTCCTGGTTTCTGTCCCTGCCAAGGCATCTCCTGTTGGGCACTGCTGGAGGGGGTGCTCTGGACCTTTGGACTGCCAGAACTTTGTTCTCAGTTTTTTGAAGCACGTCGTTAGTTAGGGGGTTGCAGAACAAAGAACACTGTTAAAAATCACATGGTTGCTTAATACCGCGAACAGCAGCTGGATGAATATCCTTGGTTTATTTGCAGCCGTTTATTGTCTTAGGTACATAAAAATCACTTTGCTGTTCCTTTTTCTGATCTCCTGACTCCGTGTTATTAGGACTCACGGCACTGTAGTTTTCTTGGAAAAAAATAACGCGTTTTCCCCAGAAAGTACATGGTGTAGTAGCGGCACGCTGGAGTAGTTGACTCTAATCCTCTGACCATAAGGATGTATAATTGATTCTAAATGTGACTTCTGTACTTTACCTCCTTGAGCGTAGATTCTAGTAAACGTTTAGTACATCTACTACATGTGAAGTTTAGGTCTATTTAGTATTTTAATATTTTAAATGAAAAAACTGATCATCTTTACAAATTTTAATACATTTCCATTATTCAGTGGCTTTTAACAGGCAGACTTCAGGTTTATTTCATTTGGTTCTTCAGTTCTTTCAAAATTCATGCGTTCTGTAATGCTATTGCAAGATTGATTTCTTTCTATTTCCTGTAGTGTAATCCTGGAGTTTTTAAGGGTTACAGTCCTGCCTCTGTTATAATAATCTGTGTGCTGTCAGGCCCTTTGTAAGGGAGGGTAGAGCAAAACTTTGTGATTCAATACTTCCTGTAAGGACATTCCCAGAAAGTACCAACTTCGGCATGTAGCCTTAGTCACTTCTGAAAATAATAGCAAATGAATCATTTTATAATTCTGCCATTGTATCAGCATGTCACTGGTTAAAGCAGGGCGTCAATAAACAGAGTGACAGATGCTCTCTGCAACCCCCACCCTCCTACCAGAGGAAGGGAAAAGGAGGAAAAGGGAGAGACACTTACAAAATGAATATGAAAAGTTTTACTAATAATACTAATAGTATGAACAGTAAGAGAAATAATGCAAAATATACAAAACCGATACGGAGTTTCCCGGAGTTGGGTGCCGGGGTGCTGGCACCAGGCAGTCCCGGACTGGCCTTGGCAGTGGGCAGGAACTGGACTCAGGAATGCACGGATCAGGATCTGGATCAGGATGGCAGGCAGGACAACGAGCAGGGTCCTCTTCGGCAGCCGGCCATGGACGAAGAGAGCGAGACCCTTGTGATCCCCCAGCTTTAAACTGAGTATGACGTGCATGGCATGGAATACCTCGCTGGTCAATATTGGGTCACCTGTCCTGTCCGCCC